TCGGACGTTGAGGTTCACAAGTACCACGTCCGACAAGTTCTTACAATCATGCGAAAGCATCAATTGTATGCAAACCTGAAGAAGTGTATATTTGCAGCAAGCGAAATACCACTTCTTGGGTGCATCGTTGGTAAGAACGGTGTACGTCCTGATCCCGAAAAAGATCAAGGCGATCACCGACTGGCCTGTGCCGGTCGATGTCAAAGGTCTTCGAAAATTCCTTGGGCTAGCGGCGTATTTGCATAAGTATTCACGCAATTACGCCGAGATGACTGTACACCTCTCTCGTTTGTTGAAAAAGAACGAGAGGTGGTTATGGAACGCTGAATGTCAACGCTCCTTTGAGGGTATCAAGCAGAGCTTGATACAATCCCCAGTCCTAGCAATAGCCGATCAGGACAGGCCATTTCATGTGGTCTGTGATGCCAGCGATTTCGCAATCGGCTGTGCATTAATGCAGTACGACCTTGAAGGCGTTGAACGCGTCGTCTGCTATCAGTCGCGTCAGCTGCAACCAGCTGAGCGGAACTATCCAGTGCATGACAAGGAACTCCTTGCCATGAAGTATGCACTCGCGAAGTTCAGAGTCTATCTATTAGGAGATAGACCCTTCGTTGTTTACACTGACCATGCGTCCTTACGCACGGCAGTGAACAGCCCGCACCTTTCACAACGAATGGCGCGGTGGTTGTCATTCTTTGCAGAATACAACTTTACGGTCGAGTACAAACCAGGACGACTTAATGTCGTCGCTGATGCACTCTCACGTCGTCCCGACTTTGAAACAGTCGCGAAACCCAACAGTGAGACAGTCACTGTTGCGGTTATGACGTCCTCAGTTCCATCTACAACGTTGTATGATGATGTGAGGCGGGCATACGCCCAAGATGGTGAGATAGTGAAGTTGTTGTCACATCTCTCCCAACCATCTCGAGAATCGTTGAAACGATTGTCGTCTGCGTATCGATCTGCATCAGATCGATACACTACTCGTAACGGTTTACTGTACTATACAGCCGTTTCTGGTGACACACCACGTGTTGTCATTCCAGATGATATTGATCTGCGTTTGCGGATCATGTTCGAGTATCACGATGCTCCTATAGGAGGACATCGTGGCCGAGAGAAAACATATCTCACGGTAAGTCGAGACTTTTACTGGCCCCGCCAGTATCAGTTTGTGCGAAAGTATGTTCGCGCATGCGAAGTCTGCCAACGAGTGAAGTCAAGTCCTTCACTGCGTGCACCTTTACAGCCTCTACCGGTTCCGGCTGAGTGCTGGGAATCCATCTCAATGGATTTCGTCTTCGGGTTACCCAAAGACGCACGCGGGAATACGGGTATTCTCGTATTTGTTGACAGATTCAGCAAAATGGTACACCTTGTGGCTGTACCAGAGACAATCACGGCAAGTGGCTGTGCTTGTGTCTTTATTGACACCATCTTCCGACTTCATGGGTTGCCCCGTGAACTCGTATCAGACAGAGATCCACGATTCACTGCTGATTTCTGGCGTTCCGTGTTCAAATCACTCGGAACGCGCTTGAAGATGTCAACATCTGATCATCCAGAGTCAGATGGTCAGACGGAACGTGCCAACCGTGTCCTCGAAGAGATACTTCGAGGATACGTACACTCCTTTAAAAGTTGGAGTGAGTTTTTGCCAATGGTAGAGTTTGCCATCAACAACTCGGTGCATGCGTCCACGACACATACACCGTTTTACGTGAATGGCTTGCGCCATCCGCGTGTACCCACCTTACTAGAGTGTAACTCTGGTTTAAGGGGGGAGGGACTCGCGCGAGCAAAAACCGATTTGGTTCACGCTCATCACGCTCTGACGAAGAAGTCATTGCGTTTGATGCCGATATCGATAACATCGATATCGAAGAAGATGATGCCAGTGAGAGTGCGGAAGCCCTCACTGAAGACAATGATCCCAGTGAGAGTGCGGAAGCCCTCACTGAAGAAAAGGTTGTTGTCGCTGCAGTGCGCTCACAGCGCACTGAAGCTAACGAGTCATCAGATGAGTTCATACTGGCTCGTGAAACGGCAGTCCGTTTTGTGCAAGACTCCATCGCCGAAGCGGTGGATAAGCAAAAGCAAAACGCTGACAAGAATGGAAGGGCAAACACTCTTTTATTTAATAAAGGTGACTTAGTCCTACTGTCTACGGTTAATCTACCAAAACATGTAGTGACTAACTTGGGTAGCAGTAAACTACTACCCAAGTACATTGGCCCATTTCGTGTATTGCACCGCCTAGGCAATGCATACACGATCGAGTTACCACGTAAGATGCGAACGCATCCCACGTTTTACGTTGGTCGGCTTAAGCCGTACCATCAGTACGCTGCTTCTTCCGATGAAGAACGCCCTTGCGCTCAAGCATCTCGCAGAGAGCCTTGTGCTCCCGATGGTGGGCATCAACAAGGGTCTGAAGAGCAGTTATCTCAGCCCGAGACCGATCAACAATCCCACGAGCTACCCCTTAGCTCGTCACGAAGAGATGTCAGAGATCTCTCGTTCTCAAGCTGAGCAAAGGCAAACTCAGCTCGATGCTTCGAGGCAGTGTCCACCATCTGGAGACGCCTATTCCGCTCATGCTCGAGATCGTCGCGTAACCCTTGCGTTACGCGATCAAAGAAGCTCTCGGGAACACACCGATCCACATGATCGTGTGGAGAGCGTCTTTCCTCCTCCTCCACCTCCATTAGAGGACTCTCGCGGTGGCCAGCGCTATCTAGTAGAGCAGCTGTTGAACCACCGCGACGTGAACGGACGTCGGACGAGTTATCTCGTCCGGTGGCGCGGCTATCCCCCGTCCTGGGATTCTTGGGAGCCCCGCTCCCAATTGATGGTTGACGTACTGGGTCTGGTCGAGCAGTACGACGCGACACATCCTGTGCCGCAGAAGGACCGCCGGAGAAAGTCTTCCCGGCACGGTCGTAAAGGGATTTCAGGTTGTCAATCCCTTCGTACATCTCAGTAGAGACACGTACGCGCCACCACGGGCTGGTAAGGAGGTAAGCCTCCTTAGGTGCTCGTGCAGAGTTGTTCACACAACATGGGCACGAGTCTCCCCAAGAGAGGCAGGGTAATCCTTTCTCCCTTGACAGACGATGCAGCTTATAGCGTGCACCTGTCGGGGTTCGCTTTTCAAACTTATCACGAGCTTTGATAAGTTTGTCGTTCCAAGCGTCACGACCTACATCCTCGAGATTATGGATGTAGGCGTTCCACGCCTGAAGTAGTGAGGGACCATCACGTTTGTGATTCCCACTGTACCATCGATGTCTGAAGAAAGCATCGATGAAGAATTCATTCTCAGCGCGATAGTTTTTCGCGCTGGGGTCAAGGTGATGGATCCTTGACGAATCGAACAATCGTGTTCGATAACGATCACTCGTCGTCGCCGACAAGTGATCCATGACAGATTTAGGAGGCATCCATGCCTTCTTTTCTGGAGCGAGACGCAACACATTGCGGTCCCGCTCTTCCTGCGACGTGCCGACAGAAGTACTGGCACCTCGCTGTGAAGTGGTGTCCATTGGAGAAACGACACCACTATTAGCGCCCGAGTCTCGCGACCTCGAGCGCCTTCGCTTGGCGATGGTTCATCTGACTCATCAGATGAACCAAAGATGCTGCGACGCAAAGCATCGTCCATGCCACGCTTGGCAGGCGGCTTGGATTCAATTGCCGTCGATACGGATCCGTCATCCGTATCAGGAGAGTACGAGACACCGAGCTCGTACTCTGTGAAGACACGAGTGTCTTCATGACCAGCGCCTGCATCACCAAGTGACACAGGCTGGGTCGCTTCAGCAACCGATGAGACATCAGTTGCTGTGGTTTCTGCTTCGGCGTCCGCACAGAGACGTGCGGACGCGCTCTCGGCGGCCTTGCTCGCGCGTCGCATGGGCTTGTTAACCATGCGATGAGATGTTGGAAAGTGGACGCGGACCAACAAGTGCAAACCCCGTCCCAAATGATTTGGGACGAGTATCCATTTAGTCAATCAGTCACTAAAGTGACTGATGGTTAAGGGGGGGGTGATGTAACGGGGTGAATCGTTACATAACAATTTATAAGAAATTGTTAATAGAATATAACTATAAGAGTTATATTCTCAGAATATTGTCATAAGGACAATATTCTGTAGCACTTCCAAGTAGTTCCTAATTGGTTGATATAGGCCATTATATCAACCAACGAAGACGCGCCACGACAGACGCACGCAATGAGTGGTGAGCAGATAACTGATTTACACATTTGTATTTAGACATAGTTAGATGAAGATAAATAGTGATTTATTGCAGACATTAACTATTATAAATACAGTTCTACTTTTACTCTAACCGAGTACTCGCTTCTTCTTACCGTCTTCCTCTGCACGTACGAGTGTACGTGAAGTTACGAGGCACCGCCTTATTCTGTTATCAGAATAAGTAGCTTGTACTGTCACCAGTACAAGCTTCAGGGTGCCCCGTTACAGCAGGCTTCGAGGGCCCTCTCAGACGGTAATCAAGGCCGGACAACGTCTTGGGTCTGACGTTTTCTCTCCTTAGATGTGCTGTAGCACCGCCACCGCCTTGGCTCCTCGCACTACCACTCCAATCACACTAGGCTCGACTTCAGCTCGTCTCACAGGTTGAGCTTTACGACGACAACGGCCATGTGTCGTCAGGTGGCCTGATACTCCTACGAACACAGCACAGCAAACACGACACACCTCCTGGCACCGGCACGTCGTGATCTCTGGAGACGTGGGAAAAGCGACGACACAGGAGTAGTCAGAGGGTATCGAGAGCTTCGTTTGAGCCAACGGCAGCGCTAGCAATAGAAGGAGCTGCAACATATCCGGTGTCTTGATGGAGAGAAGATGATGTGGAACACAATGCACGGAGGAGAGGAAGGTAGGGGGTGCACAAGCGTGAACAGAAACCACAAATCGGGGCCATGTTAGGAAATGGTTGGTTATCCAGTCTAGCACAACGTCACCAGTCCCACATCGATCCTGCTTGTCGCACTCTAGCGTTTAGACTGGCCGGAAGGTCAGGCCAGACCAGGAGAAGAAATCGATGCTTCTGCTCCATGTCCATATCGCCGATCAACATTGACCACGCCTCTTTCACGGGAATGGCAAGGTCCGAATTCTCTTCATGCAAGAGATCAACGAAGCGAATCCACGCAGCTGCAGAATGGTGCAACACACAGAGCACAACACCTTGCAAACCCAGCATGTCGGCTACTTCCACGGGAGGCAACTTTAACGCCTTCAACTCGTTCGCCATCCAATTTAAAGCCGCAACGCCCGGCGCGGATGAGACGCTTTCAGCTAGTTTGTTGAACATCGAGATTACGTTATGCTTGGAGTCGTCGCTGTCGATGTTGTAGATCGAGATAAGCTGCTTGAACACTTCAGCGTCCGAACGTCTGCCCTTGAACGACTCGTAAATTCGGTCAGCGGAGATACTCCCAATACGTTCATCATACAAGAAAGCATACCTCAACCAGGCGTCGAGCACCTTAGGACTGACCTCCGGTCTAGCAAGGCTCAGGTTTTCTGCCACATCAGTAGGGTGGACTGGACGCTTGAACCATTCTTCCAGCTTCCGATAGAGGTACGTGTCCTGATTGAGCTTCAGGTCGTTGACGTAATTATAAAGCTTAACCAGCGCATCCATTCCCATCGCTCGCTCCTCTGTGCGCTCTCCTTTGTGGTTTGATGAAGGAGCTATCCAGTCTTTCGACCCCCACACTGCGATGAGTAGTCGACGCGGTCATGCCCACAGGCGAGCCCTGGGACTGCAAACGAATCGGCGAGTTGGATGTCGTGTCGTCACTGCGTGAAGCAGTTACCGGGTTGCCGCTGGCGATCGATTCGGCACTTTCACCGAAAAAGGTGCCGGGGACTGCGAGTAGAAGGCAGAGCTTATGCATACAAGTGGCTCGGGTGGGTGGGTGGGTGGCTGCGAGTGAATTGTACAATGAGGACTGCGGGCGTGATTTCGTCGAGATGCGGTGCGGAGACTGATCCTCATCAGCCTGGCCGCCACTCCCCGATCGACAGCCAGCTGCAACCACAGACAGAGACGAGACTCTTTGAAGAGCCAGGAAACTGATCCTCTTGCCCGGGACGGCAAGTCACGCACAGTGGGGTCAAGGCAAAAAGGTGAGAGTGTAACGGGGTGAATCGCTACATAACAATTTATAAGAAATTGTTAGTAGAATATAACTATAAGAGTTATATTCTCAGAATATTGTCATAAGGACAAATATTCTGTAGCACTTACGAGTAGTTCCTAATTGGTTGATATAGGCCATTATATCAACCAACGAAGACGCGCCACGACAGACGCACGCAATGAGTGGTGAGCAGATAGTTGATTTACACATTTGTATTTAGACATAGTTAGATGAAGATAAATAGTGATTTCTTGCAGACATTAACTATTATAAATACAGTTCTACTTTTTACTCTAACCGAGTACTCGCTTCTTCTTACCGTCTTCCTCTGCACGTACGAGTGTACGTGAAGTTACGAGGCACCGCCTTATTCTGTCATCAGAATAAGTAGCTTGTACTGTCACCAGTACAAGCTTCAGGGTGCCCCGTTACACCTGGTAGCACTTCGTAGTCCGTCCAAGGACCGCGTTCACATCCAACATGAATATGTTAGATGATGAAGATGACCAAAGCTTTCACGCTACGCGTGACGGCTACTCACGTTTGAGCGATGTTGAATGGGATGCGGTTAAACGGATGGGTTCAACCATGGGCATCCATGTTGTTACCGTCATGCTAGAGGCGCTCAATAGAGATGCCCAACATGCTACTATCGCCAAGTTCATTCAAAATGAACTTGACGCTGAACGCGAGAAAGTAGCCTTGCTTCACCAACAAGGTTCTCAACAATCAGAGTTGTTGAGAAAACAGGGTGCTCAACAGTTGGAACTGTTGAGACAGCAGCAGGCTGCTGCTGGTGGGTCGATGCACTCGCGTCGACCCGAGACCTTGAAGATTGACATCTCCAAGTATAGGGGAGTCGAAGAGGACTCCCTCTTGAGATGGTTCGTCGAATTGGATGACGCCATAAGGGCGCGTCGCATCGACGACGGGGATATGCAAGTTGCATTTGCCCAGTCAAATCTAGCAGGACGTGCCAAGACTTGGGCACTGGGGCTCAAGTTGCACGACCCACATGCGTTTGGGTCGTTGGAAGTCTTCAAGTCGCGGCTCAGACAACCGTTTGAACCGCCTAGAGCTGAGTTCGAAGCTCGAAATGAACTCTTGAGGCTCAAACAGGGTAAGCGTGATGTGCACGCTTATGCACAACATATACGACATCTCACGAGTTGTAAAAGTTCCAACTTGGAAGATGAACACGCGTTGGCTTCGGTGTTCATGCAGGGTCTTGCGGATGGTCCCGTCAAGACTCACCTGTTCCGGCTTGAACTAGATTCACTAGAACAAGCCATTTCCATTGCGGAGCAGGAAGACTTCAGTCTGAGACAGGCTTGCGCCAGCTCGACATCATATCGTCAACCGAGACGATATGACAGCGGAGGTCCAGAGCCGATGGAACTCTGTTATGTAGAGAGCGAGAAGGCTCGCTCTACAGGCTACAAGAAGTTTCAGAAATGCAACAGATGTCAAAAGACAGGACACTACGCTTACGAGTGTAGTGCCCCTCGTCCAGTGTCTCGCAACACTGGGCGTAGTGACCGTCCACCCATGAGAAAGGGGCAGGGACGCGGGTCCGCTGTTGGTGCAAAGACGCAACAACGGGATGGACCGTCAAAAAACGGACAGGATCAGTAGGTGCGGAGCACCCTACTGGTCCAGCAACGTCAAGAGAGTTTGTAGGCCTCTTGATGAAGGTTGCTCCCAACACACAAACATTGTGCGCTGCTGCTCTAGGTAATGAGATCTCACTCATTACCTTGAAACTCGAAGTGACGAATAAGTTGTCCCTTCGAGCTCTAATCGATTGTGGGGCGTCTAACAATTTTGTGCGACGCCAATCGCTAGAAGATGGTCACTTTAAGTTCAGTGAATGTGACACACCTCCTACGAGGATGACGGTACGTCTTGCGACAGGCGCATCCGTAACCGTCATGAAGCGTATAGTGAAGATCCACTATACGCTAGAAGATACCCAATATGACGATGACTTTACCGTATTGGATTTGGATGACAAATTTGATGTCATCCTTGGAATACCGTGGCTCAGAAGGTACGAACCACGAGTAAACTGGCAACATCGAACAGTAACGATGCCTGCCGCTTGTTCATCAGATGGCCATCTGATGAACGTTTTGGAGCGTCCACAAGCGTGTGGATGTACTACGAGTAAGTGTGATGGCCTCACTTGTGGTACGGTCGTTAGTACGACTGCACAAAACCTTAGTGTGACAAACGGTTACACTTCGGAGCAAAGTTCCGGCGGCTGTGAGGAAACACAGGCTGCGCCGAAGGTCCACCACTCGAATAAGTCGAGTGGACCGGGACAAAGATGTATCCCTAGCGGGGAACATCTAGAAGAGAAACAGTCGATCGCTCGGGTTAAGCGAAACGATAATCCTAGATCGACTGGAGAGTCTTTCGTAGAGGATCTCGCTGTGGTTGCGCAACCCCAGCTAGAGGAAGTAAAGGGAATAAGTCCCAAGATTACAAATACGGCGGAAATAAGTTCCCCAAAACCCGCGGAAATAAGTCCCCGGGAAGACAAAGGAATAAGTCCTTCGAAGCCTGAGGGAATAAGTCCCCAGGAAATGACAGAGACATTGAATGTCATAGTCAATAACGGATCAAGTGTAGGCGCTTATACACTTGATCTGATTGCGCCTCCGAAGTTGACTTCGGAGATCACTCAGTTGCCAACGCTCGAACATAAAAGGTTCTTGCGTGATCTGCGTAGTGGCAAAGTCAAGCAGATCTGCGTACTAGTCGCTGACGACGAGTGTGTAGCCGACATAAGGTCAGCAACAGTGTTTACTGAGAACGAGAGAGTTCTCAGTAGTTTATCTATGGACGAGAGTGTCCTAGATGAAAAGACACGAATTGAGCGATATGACTCCCAATCCTGGGAATCGCTCAAGACAAATCCTCTCTATGAAGATTCGGTTGAATTCAAGGAATATTCCCTGAAACTGTTCCGTGCGACTTACCGAAGGATAAAGGTATTCGACACGAGGTCGAGCTTAAACCAGGCTCGAAGTACTGTGTCATGAAGCAGTGGCCACTGCCTCGTGAACAAGTACTTGCGATCGACAAGTTCTTTGCCGATCGTTTAGCTGCGGGCCATGTGAGGGAATCAACTTCCCCACATAGCTCTCCGACCTTCTGTGTGCGAAAAGCAACAGGAGGGTGGCGGATAGTGCACGCGTTCAACAAATTGAACGCTGCAACGGTACCGGCTCAGACGCCGATACCGAGGAAGGACGTAATCATTGATGGTATGTCAAAGAGTACCATCTTTTCGTCCATGGATTTGATGGATGGCTTCTATCAAATCCTTATGCGAGAACGGGATATACCCTATACCGCAGTTAGAACGCCTAGCGGCATGCTCTGGGAATGGCTAGTAATGCCACAAGGGCTCAGTAATGCCCCGGCCACGTTCAACAGATGTGTATCACATCTGTTGAGACCAGTACGAGAATTCGCGCCGAGTTATTTCGATGATGTATTCATCCATAGTCGGGCTATGGATGGAACGTCGGACGTTGAGGTTCACAGGTACCACGTCCGACAGGTTCTTACAATCATGCGAAAGCACCAATTGTATGCAAACCTCAAGAAGTGTATATTTGCAGCAAGCGAAATACCACTTCTTGGGTGCATCGTTGGTAAGAACGGTGTACGTCCTGATCCCGAAAAGATTAAGGCGATCACCGACTGGCCTGTGCCAGTTGATGTCAAAGGTCTTCGAAAATTCCTTGGGCTAGCGGCGTATTTGCACAAGTATTCACGCAATTACGCCGAGATGACTGTACACCTCTCTCGTTTGTTGAAAAAGAACGAAAGGTGGTTATGGAACGCTGAATGTCAGCGCTCCTTTGAGGGTATCAAGCAGAGCTTGATACAATCCCCAGTCCTAGCAACAGCCGATCAGGACAGGCCATTTCATGTGGTCTGTGATGCCAGCGATTTCGCAATCGGCTGTGCATTAATGCAGTACGATCTTGAAGGCGTTGAACGCGTCGTCTGCTATCAGTCGCGTCAGCTGCAACCAGATGATCGGAACTATCCAGTGCATGACAAGGAACTCCTTGCCATGAAATATGCACTCGCGAAGTTCAGAGTCTATCTCTTAGGAGATATACCCTTCATTGTTTGCACTGACCATGCGTCATTACGCACGGCAGTGAACAGCCCGCACCTTTCACAACGAATGGCGCGGTGGTTGTCATTCTTTGCAGAATACAACTTACGGTCGAGTACAAACCAGGACGACTTAATATCGTCGCTGATGCACTCTCACGTCGTCCCGACTTTGAACCAGTCGTGAAACCCAACAGTGATACAGTCACTGTTGCGGTTATGACGTCCTCAGTCCCATCTACAGCGTTGTATGATGATGTGAGGCGGGCATACGCCCAAGATGGTGAGATTGTGAAGTTGTTGACACATCTCTCACAACCATCTCGAGAATCGTTGAAACGATTGTCGTCTGCGTATCGATCTGCATCAGATCGATACACTACTCGCGACGGTTTACTGTATTATACAGCCATTACTAATGACACACCACGTGTTGTCATTCCAGATGATACTGATCTGCGTTTGCGGATCATGTTCGAGTATCACGATGCTCCTATAGGAGGACTTCGTGGCCGGGAGAAAACATATCTCACGGTGAGTCGAGACTTTTACTGGCCCCGCCAGTATCAGTTTGTGCGAAAGTATGTTCGCGCATGCGAAGTCTGCCAACGAGTGAAGTCAAGTCCTTCACTGCGTGCACCTTTACAGCCTCTACCGGTTCCGGCTGAGTGCTGGGAATCCATCTCAATGGATTTCGTCTTCGGGTTACCCAAAGACGCACGCGGGAATACGGGTATTCTCGTATTTGTTGACAGATTCAGCAAAATGGTACACCTCGTGGCTGTACCAGAGACAATCACGGCAAGTGGCTGTGCTTGTGTCTTTATTGACACCATCTTCCGACTTCATGGGTTGCCCCGTGAACTCGTATCAGACAGAGATCCACGATTCACTGCTGATTTCTGGCGTCCCGTGTTCAAATCACTCGGAACACGCTTGAAGATGTCGACATCTGATCATCCAGAGTCAGATGGTCAGACGGAACGTGCCAATCGTGTCCTTGAAGAGATACTTCGAGGATACGTACACTCCTTTAAGAGTTGGAGTGAGTTTTTGCCAATGGTAGAGTTTGCCATCAACAACTCGGTGCATGCGTCCACGACACATACACCGTTTTACGTGAATGGCTTGCGCCATCCGCGTGTACCCATCTTACTAGAGTGTAACTCTGGTTTAAAGGGGGAGGGACTCGCGCGAGCAAAAACCGATTTGGTTCACGCTCATCAAGCTCTGACGAAGAGGTCATTGCGTTTGATGCCAATATCGATAACATCGATATCGAAGAAGATGATGCCAGTGAGAGTGCGGAAGCCCTCACTGAAGAAAAGGTTGATGTTGCTGCAGTGCGCTCACAGCGCACTGAAGATAACGAGTCATCAGATGAGTTCATGCTGGCTCGTGAAACGGTAATATGTTTTGTGCAAGATTCCATCTCCGAAGCGGTGGATAAGCAAAAGCAAAACGCTGACAAGAATGGAAGGGCAAACACTCTTTTATTTAATAAAGGTGACTTAGTCCTACTATCTACGGTTAATCTACCAAAGCATGTAGTGACTAACTTGGGTAGTAGTAAACTACTACCCAAGTACATCGGCCCGTTTCGTGTATTGCACCGCCTAGGCAATGCATACACGATCGAGTTACCACGTAAGATGCGAACACATCCCACGTTTTACGTTGGTCGGCTTAAGCCGTACCATCAGTACGCTGCTTCTTTCGACGAAGAACGCCCTTGCGCTCAAGCATCTCGCAGAGAGCCTTGTGCTCCCCATGGTGGGCATCGACAAGGGTCTGAAGAGCAGTAATCTCATCCCGAGGCCGATCAACAATCCCACGAGCTACCCTTAGCTCTTCACGAAGAGATGTCAGAGCTCTCTCGTTCTCAAGCTGAGCAAAGGCAAACTCAGCTCGATGCTCCGAGACAGTGTCGGCCATTTGGAGACGCCTGTCCCGCTCATGTTCGAGATCGTTGCGTAACTCTTGCGTTACGCGATCAAAGAAGCTCTCGGGAACACACGGATCCCCATGATCGTGTGGAGAGCGTCTTTCCTCCTCCTCCACCTCCATTAGAGGACTCTCGCGGTGGCCAGCGCTATCTAGTTGAGCAGCTGTTGAACCACCGCGACGTGAACGGACGTCGAACGAGTTATCTCGTCCGGTGGCGCGACTATCCCCCGTCCTGGGATACTTGGGATCCCCGCTCCCAACTGATAGTTGACGTACTGGGTCTGGTTGAGCAGTACGACGCGGCACATCCTGTGCCGCAGAAGGACCGCCAGAGAAAGTCTTCCCGGCACGGTCGTAAAGGGATTTCAGGTTGTCAATCCCTTTGTACATCTCAGTAGAGATACGTACGCGCCACCACGGGCTAGTAAGGAGGTAAGCCTCCTTAGGTGCTCGTGCAGAGTTGTCCACACAACATGGGCACGAGTCTCCCCCAAGAGAGGCAGGGTAATCCTTTCTCCCTTGACAGACGATGCAGCTTGTAGCGTGCACCTGTCGGGGTTCGCTTTTCAAGCTAATCACGAGCTTTGATAAGTTTGTCGTTACAAGCGTCACGACCTACATCCTCAAGGTTATGGATGTAGGCGTTCCACGCCTAAAGCAGTGAGGGACCATCACGCTTGTGATTCCCACTGTACCATCGATGTCTAAAGAAAGCGTCGATGAAGAATTCATTCTCAGCGCGATAGTTTTTCGCGCTGGGGTCAAGGTGATGGATCCTTGACGAATCGAACAACCGTGTTCGATAACGATCACTCGTCGTCGCCGACAAGTGATCCACGACAGATTTGGGAGGCATCCATGCCTTCTTCTCAGGAGCGAGACGCAACACATTGCGGTCCCGCTCTTCCTGCGATGTGCCGACAGAAGTACTGGCACCTCGTTGCGAAGTGGTGTCCATAGGAGAACCGACACCACTGTTAGCGCCCGAGTCTCGCGACCTCGAGCGCCTTCGCTTCGGCGATGGTTCATCTGATTCATCAGATGAACCAAAGATGCTGCGACGCAAAGCATCGTCCATGCCACGCTTGGCAGGCGGCTTGGATTCAATCGCCGTCGATACGGATCCGTCATCCGTATCAGGAGAGTACGAGACACCGAGCTCGTACTCTGTGAAGACACGAGTGTCTTCATGACCAGCGCCTGCATCACCAAGTGACACAGGCTGGGTCGCTTCAGCAACCGATGAGACATCAGTTGCTGTGGTTTCTGCTTCGGCGTCCGCACAGAGACGTGCGGACGCGCTCTCGGCGGCCTTGCTCGCGCGTCGCATGGGCTTGTTAACCATGCGATGAATTGTTGGAAAGTGGACTTGGACCAACAAGTGCAAACCCTGTCCCAAACGATTTGGAACGAGTATCCATTTAGTCAATCAGTCACTAATGTGACTGATGGTTAAGGGGGGGTGATGTAACGGGGTGAATCGTTACATAACAATTTATAAGAAATTGTTAATAGAATATAACTATAAGAGTTATATTCTCAGAATATTGTCATAAGGACAAATATTCTGTAGCACTTACGAGTAGTTCCTAATTGGTTGATATAGGCCATTATATCAACCAACGAAGACGCGCCACGACAGACGCACGCAATGAGTGGTGAGCAGATAGTTGATTTACACATTTGTATTTAGGCATAGTTAGATGAAGATAAATAGTGATTTCTTGCAGACATTAACTATTATAAATACAGTTCTACTTTTTACTTTAACCAAGTACTCGCTTCTTCTTACCGTCTTCCTCTGCACGTACGAGTGTACGTGAAGTTACGAGGAACCGCCTTATTCTGTCATCAGAATAAGTAGCTTGTACTGTCACCAGTACAAGCTTCAGGGTGCCCCGTTACAGACGCCGAAGCAGAAACCACAGCAACTGATGTCTCATCGGTTGCTGAAGCGACCCAGCCTGTGTCACTTGGTGATGCAGGCGCTGGTCATGAAGACACTCGTGTCTTCACAGAGTACGAGCTCGGTGTCTCGTACTCTCCTGATACGGATGACGGATCCGTATCGACGGCGATTGAATCCAAGCCGCCTGCCAAGCGTGGCATGGACGATGCTTTGCGTCGCAGCATCTTTGGTTCATCTGATGAATCAGATGAACCATCGCCGAAGCGAAGGCGCTCGAGGTCGCGAGACTCGGGCGCTAACAGTGGTGTCGGTTCTCCTATGGACACCACTTCGCAACGAGGTGCCAGTACTTCTGTCGGCACATCGCAGGAAGAGCGGGACCGCAATGTGTTGCGTCTCGCTCCTGAGAAGAAGGCATGGATGCCTCCCAAATCTGTCGTGGATCACTTGTCGGCGACGACGAGTGATCGTTATCGAACACGGTTGTTCGATTCGTCAAGGATCCATCACCTTGACCCCAGCGCGAAAAACTATCGCGCTGAGAATGAATTCTTCATCGACGCTTTCTTTAGACATCGATGGTACAGTGGGAATCACAAGCGTGATGGTCCCTCACTGCTTTAGGCGTGGAACGCCTACATCCATAACCTTGAGGATGTAGGTCGTGACGCTTGTAACGACAAACTTATCAAAGCTCGTGATTAGCTTGAAAAGCGAACCCCGACAGGTGCACGCTACAAGCTGCATCGTCTGTCAAGGGAGAAAGGATTACCCTGCCTCTCTTGGGGAGACTCGTGCCCATGTTGTGTGAACAACTCTGCACGAGCACCTAAAGAGGCTTACCTCCTTACTAGCCCGTGGTGGCGCGTACGTATCTCTACTGAGATGTACGAAGGGATTGACAACCTGAAATCCCTTTACGACCGTGCCGGGAAGACTTTCTCCGGCGGTCCTTCTGCGGCACAGGATGTGCCGCGTCGTACTGCTCAACCAGACCCAGTACGTCAACCATCAGTTGGGAGCGGGGCTCCCAAGTATCCCAGGACGGGGGATAGTCGCGCCACCGGACGAGATAACTCGTCCGACGTCCGTTCACGTCGCGGTGGTTCAACAGCTGCTCAACTAGATAGCGCTGGCCACCGCGAGAGTCCTCTAATGGAGGTGGAGGAGGAGGAAAGACGCTCTCCACACGATCATGGGGATCCGTGTGTTCCCGAGAGCTTCTTTGATCGCGTAACGCAAGAGTTACGCAACGATCTCGAACATGAGCGGGACAGGCGTCTCCAAATGGCCGACACTGTCTCGGAGCATCGAGCTGAGTTTGCCTTTGCTCAGCTTGAGAACGAGAGAGCTCTGACATCTCTTCGTGAAGAGCTAAGGGTAGCTCGTGGGATTGTTGATCGGCCTCGGGATGAGATTACTGCTCTTCAGACCCTTGTCGATGCCCACCATGGGGAGCACAAGGCTCTCTGCGAGATGCTTGAGCGCAAGGGCGTTCTTCATCGAAAGAAGCAGCGTACTGATGGTACGGCTTAAGCCGACCAACGTAAAACGTGGGATGTGTTCGCATCTTACGTGGTAACTCGATCGTGTATGCATTGCCTAGGCGGTGCAATACACGAAACGGGCCGATGTACTTGGGTAGTAGTTTACTACTACCCAAGTTAGTCACTACATGCTTTGGTAGATTAACCGTAGATAGTAGGACTAAGTCACCTTTATTAAATAAAAGAGTGTTTGCCCTTCCATTCTTGTCAGCGTTTTGCTTTTGCTTATCCACCGCTTCGGAGATGGAATCTTGCACAAAACATATTACCGTTTCACGAGCCAGCATGAACTCATCTGATGACTCGTTATCTTCAGTGCGCTGTGAGCGCACTGCAGCAACATCAACCTTTTCTTCAGTGAGGGCTTCCGCACTCTCACTGGCATCATCTTCTTCGATATCGATGTTATCGATATTGGCATCAAACGCAATGACCTCTTCGTCAGAGCTTGATGAGCGTGAACCAAATCGGTTTTTGCTCGCGCGAGTCCCTCCCCCCTTTAAACCAGAGTTACACTCTAGTAAGATGGGTACACGCGGATGGCGCAAGCCATTCACGTAAAACGGTGTATGTGTCGTGGACGCATGCACCGAGTTGTTGATGGCAAACTCTACCATTGGCAAAAACTCACTCCAACTCTTAAAGGAGTGTACGTATCCTCGAAGTATCTCTTCAAGGACACGATTGGCACGTTCCGTCTGACCATCTGACTCTGGATGATCAGATGTCGACATCTTCAAGCGCGTTCCGAGTGATTTGAACACGGGACGCCAGAAATCAGCAGTGAATCGTGGATCTCTGTCTGATACGAGTTCACGGGGCAACCCATGAAGTCGGAAGATGGTGTCAATAAAGACACAAGCACAGCCACTTGCCGTGATTGTCTCTGGTACAGCCACGAGGTGTACCATTTTGCTGAATCTGTCAACAAATACGAGAATACCCGTATTCCCGCGTGCGTCTTTGGGTAACCCGAAGACGAAATCCATTGAGATGGATTCCCAGCACTCAGCCGGAACCGGTAGAGGCTGTAAAGGTGCACGCAGTGAAGGACTTGACTTCACTCGTTGGCAGACTTCGCATGCGCGAACATACTTTCGCACAAACTGATACTGGCGGGGCCAGTAAAAGTCTCGACTCACCGTGAGATGTGTTTTCTCTCGGCCACGAAGTCCTCCTATAGGAGCATCGTGATACTCGAACATGATCCGCAAACGCAGATCAGTATCATCTGGAATGACAACACGTGGTGTGTCATTAGTAATGGCTGTATAATACAGTAAACCGTCGCGAGTAGTGTATCGATCTGATGCAGATCGATACGCAGACGACAATCGTTTCAACGATTCTCGAGATGGTTGTGAGAGATGTGTCAACAACTTCACAATCTCACCATCTTGGGCGTATGCCCGCCTCACATCATCATACAACGTTGTAGATGGGACTGAGGACGTCATAACCGCAACAGTGACTGTATCACTGTTGGGTTTCACGACTGGTTCAAAGTCGGGACGACGTGAGAGTGCATCAGCGACGATATTAAGTCGTCCTGGTTTGTACTCGACCGTAAGTTGTATTCTGCACAGAATGACAACCACCGCGCCATTCGTTGTGAAAGGTGCGGGCTGTTCACTGCCGTGCGTAATGACGCATGGTCAGTGCAAACAATGAAGGGTATATCTCCTAAGAGATAGACTCTGAACTTCGCGAGTGCATATTTCATGGCAAGGAGTTCCTTGTCATACACTGGATAGTTCCGCTCAGCTGGTTGCAGCTGACGCGACTGATAGCAGACGACGCGTTCAACGCCTTCAAGATCGTACTGCATTAATGCACAGCCGATTGCAAAATCGCTGGCATCACAGACCACATGAAATGGCCTGTCCTGATCGGCTGTTGCTAGGACTGGGGATTGTATCAAGCTCTGATTGATACCATCAAAGGAGCGCTGACATTCAGCGTTCCATAACCACCTTTCGTTCTTTTTCAACAAACGAGAGAGGTGTACAGTCATCTCGGCGTAATTGCGTGAATACTTGTGCAAATACGCCGCTAGCCTAAGAAATTTTCGAAGACCTTTGACATCAACTGGCACAGGCCAGTCGGTGATCGCCTTAATCTTTTCGGGATCAGGACGTACACCGTTCTTACCAACGATGCACCCAAGAAGTGGTATTTCGCTTGCTGCAAATATACACTTCTTGAGGTTTGCATACAATTGGTGCTTTCGCATGATTGTAAGAACCTGTCGGACGTGGTACCTGTGAACCTCAACGTCCGACGTTCCATCCATAGCCCGACTATGGATGAATACATCATCGAAATAACTCGGCGCGAATTCTCGTACTGGTCTCAACAGATGTGTATCACATCTGTTGAACGTGGCAGGGGCATTACTGAGCCCTTGTGGCATTACTAGCCATTCCCAGAGCATGCCGCTAGGCGTTCTAACTGCGGTATAGGGTATATCCCGTTCTCGCATAAGGATTTGATAGAAGCCATCCATCAAATCCATGGACGAAAAGATGGTACTCTTTGACATACCATCAATGATTACGTCCTTCCTCGGTATCGGCGTCTGAGCCGGTACCGTTGCAGCGTTCAATTTGTTGAACGCGTGCACTATCCGCCACCCTCCTGTTGCTTTTCGCACACAGAAGGTCGGAGAGCTATGTGGGGAAGTTGATTCCCTCATATGGCCCGCAGCTAAACGATCGGCAAAGAACTTGTCGATCGCAAGTACTTGTTCACGAGGCAGTGGCCACTGCTTCATGACACAGTACTTCGAGCCTGGTTTAAGCTCGACCTCGTGTCGAATACCTTTATCCTTCGGTAAGTCGCACGGAACAGTTTCAGGGAATATTCCTTGAATTCAACCGAATCTTCATAGAGAGGATTTGTCTTGAGCGATTCCCAGGATTGGGAGTCATATCGCTCAATTCGTGTCTTTTCATCTAGGACACTCTCGTCCATAGATAAACTACTGAGAACTCTCTCGTTCTCAGTAAACACTGTTGCTGACCTTATGTCGGCTACACACTCGTCGTCAGCGACTAGTACGCAGATCTGCTTGACTTTGCCACTACGCAGATCACGCAAGAACCTTTTATGTTCGAGCGTTGGCAACTGAGTGATCTCCGAAGTCAACTTCGGAGGCGCAATCAGATCAAGTGTATAAGCGCCTACACTTGATCCGTTATTGACTATGACATTCAATGTCTCTGTCATTTCCTGGGGACTTATTCCCTCAGGCTTCGAAGGACTTATTCCTTTGTCTTCCCGGGGACTTATTTCCGCGGGTTTTGGGGAACTTATTTCCGCCGTATTTGTAATCTTGGGACTTATTCCCTTTACTTCCTCTAGCTGGGGTTGCGCAACCACAGCGAGATCCTCTACGAAAGACTCTCCAGTCGATCTAGGATTATCGTTTCGCTTAACCCGAGCGATCGATTGTTTCTCTTCTTGATGTTCCCCGCTAGGGATACATCTTTGTCCCGGTCCACTCGACTTATTCGAGTGGTGGACCTTCGTCGCAGCCTGTGTTTCCTCACAGCCGCCGGAACTTTGCTCCGAAGTGTAACCGTTTGTCACACTAAGGTTTTGTGCAGTCGTACTAACGACCGTACCACAAGTGAGGCATCACACTCACTCGTAGTACATCCACACGCTTGTGGACGCTCCAAAACGTTCATCAGGTGGCCATCTGATGAACAAGCGGCAGGCATCGATACTGTTCGATGTTGCCAGTTTACCCGTGGTTCGTACCTTCTGAGCCATGGTATTCCAAGGATGACATCAAATTTGTCATCCAAATCCAATACGATAAAGTCATCGTCATATTGGGTATCTTCTAGCGTATAGTGGATCTTCACTATACGCTTCATGACGGTTACGGATGCGCCTGTCGCAAGACGTACCGTCATCCTCGTAGGAGGTGTGTCACATTCACTGAATTTAAAGTGACCATCTTCTAGCGATTGGCGTCGCACAAAATTGTTGGACGCCCCACAATCGACTAGAGCTCGAAGGGACAACTTATTCGTCACTTCGAGTTTCAAGGTAATGAGTGAGACCTCA